CTTAGAGCTTTTCGTGCAGAAAATATGCATCAAGTCCACAATGAGAGTAATGTTTACCTTGAATTCAGACTTTACCTCCGCGTGCTGTAATATTCATGTGATTCGAAGACGCATATTCGAGCGAAGCTTCTCAGCGTCTTTGCCTGGTTGTATGCGCGTGGTATCATTGCTCTGTAATCTTTGAAAATCACCAACGCGCTTGTGCAACTTGTACTCGGTCTCGTTGGAGAATATACACTGTGGCCTCGGCGGCGTTATTAGCAGCAATATGGCTCATCCATGGGAAGTGCTAACATTACGAGTATATTTATTTTGCTACACCACTGGAAAATCTTATACATTGTCTCGTGATTTTTTTCTTTTTAGTTCATGCAGTGTAGGCATACTCATTGCAAATTTCATCCCACCGCTTGGGGCAGTTTAGTTAGTTATATATTTTCGGACAGTTATAAACTTTGGGCCAGTTTAGTTAGTTACAAATTTTGGGACAGTTAGTTAGTTAGATCCTTTGCAAAACTCTTAGACACAGGACACATTTTAGCCAGGTCATTTATATATATTAATAACCCTACCATACCAATCAACCTTTCTTCCTTAACGAAGATCAACAAAAAATCGGGCCAACAGCTGTTTCCTGGCTAGTCTAATAGCCCAGCCATTATCTATTTCTTGGTAGGACTAATAACCGGACCATTAAACGTTGCCTGGTGTAACGTAAGCAGTATGTACTAGTACATTTCGCAGTGAGGTCGTACTAGTTATTCCCCTTGTACTGTTACTCTCTTATAGAAAGGTTAGCATTAATATACGTTCGGCCAGATAATGTATTATTTTATTATTTAGTCTACATATTTAATGATAATAAAAGAATAACCTAACAGTGTGTCCTTGTTTGGCGTCCTAGGCAGCAACCTTGTTTACCTAGAGGTTGAACTGACTGGTTATAAATTGGCCAAGCATGAATCGTGAAATAGAAAACTATATTAAAACGTGTAATGCATAATATTATCAGCAGCAGCGAAGATGCGTCACAATGTGCCTACATGGCCACTCACAAATCACGATGTGCCTACATGGCCACTCACAAGTCACGATGTGCCTACATGGCCACTCACAAATCACGATGTGCCTACATGGCCACTCACAAGTCACGATGTGCCTACATGGCTACTCACAAATCACGATGTGCCTACATGGCCACTCACAAATCACGATGTGCCTACATGGCCACTCACAAATCACGATGTGCCTACATGGCCACTCACAAATCACGATGTGCCTACATGGCCACTCACAAATCACGATGTGCCTACATGGCCACTCACAAATCACGATGTGCCTACATGGCCACTCACAAATCACGATGTGCCTACATGGCCACTCACAAATCACGATGTGCCTACATGGCCACTCACAAATCATGATGTGCCTACATGGCCACTCACAAATCACGATGTGCCTACATGGCCACTCACAAATCACGATGTGCCTACATGGCCACTCACAATTCACGATGTACCTACAAGGCCACTCACAAATCACGATGTGCCTACAGGGCCATTCACAAGTCACGATGTGCTTTCAATGCCACTCATAAGTCACAATGTGCCTACAAGGCCACTCACAAGTCACGATGTGCCTACAAGGCCACTCACAAATCACGATGTGCCTACAGGGCCATTCACAAGTCACGATGTGCTTTCAATGTCACTCATAAGTCACTATGTGTCTACAAGGCCACTCACAAGTCACGATGTGCTTTCAATGCCACTAATAAGTCACAATGTGCCTACAAGGCCATTTACAAGTCACGATGTGCTTTCAATGCCACTAATAAGTCACAATGTGCCTACAAGGCCATTTACAAGTCACGATGTGCTTTCAATGCCACTCATAAGTCACAATGTGCATACAAGGCCACTTACAAGTCACGATGTGCTTTCAATGCCACTAATAAGTCACAATGTGCCTACAAGGCCACTTACAAGTCACGATGCGCTTTCAATGCCACTCATAAGTCACAATGTGCATACAAGGCCATTTACAAGTCACGATGTGCTTTCAATGCCACTCATAAGTCACAATGTGGCTACAAGGTTAAGGTAGACAGGTCTACTTTTTAAAGTAAAGCATATTTGGTCACAGTAGACAATTATTTTTTTTTTTAGTTGATCCCAGTCTGATACTTCTGCATTTCTGAATACACCAACGGAAGGTTTGCATTTGTCACCGCATCACGCATGCTCAATAAGCGCTCAAGAACATTTCTGCGAATGTGAGAAATACTCTAAATGCTATAATCCCAGGTCTTAGTTGTTGGTAAAAAAAAACGAAGCAAGAAAAATACTTCAAAAGGAGCGAAAAGGAACTAAAACACTTACAAAATGGAGATGTTATTAGGGATAACCCAGTGACAAACATAGTATATGGTGCAGGGCGTTAATAGAAGGAAACGTTGACATTCGCTCCTAAAAGATGGTTGTGTGTATCTTAGAAAGCATATACACGCTACAAAAGAACATTGTATAGACCCTGATGGTCACAACATACAACACTAGAGGAATTGCGAACACCAGATAGATCGTTTCTGCACGAAACCTGCAAAGCAAACAAAAACTAGCAAATGGGGGTATTGCTATAGGGCGCAGGCGATCAATATTAACATTTTCTCAGAATGGCAACCTCATTACCCCTGGTACTTTCTCCGGTTTGATATGTAAAATGCAGACATTATTCGATCCGAATATATTCATGGTTGAAATGTCAAATGTCTATATTGAGCGTATATTGTGCTTTATGTACAAATTATTCGGAGGAAATAAACGGTAACATTATTTTTCGAAACGAAGTAAAAACCAAATATGCTGACCTACGGCTACTTTTTAAATCTTTGGAGAACATTTTACGAAAATAATGATACAATCTGAGACAGTTTGCGTAAAAACTCTGAATTACGTCTTTTATAAAGAGAGAGAGAGAGAGAGAGAGAGAGAGAGAGAGAGAGAGAGAGAGAGAGAGAGAGAGAGAGAGAGAGAGAGAGAGAGAGAGAGAGAGAGAGAGTGTGTGTGTGTGTGTGTGTATGTGTGTATGTGATTTAGATTTTTAACGTAGCTTTAACAATTTTCAGTCATATCGCATCGATGTCTGCAGTGTGACATTGTCTAGCACTGAGGAATCATGCCACAGACATGTGGCATGATGTCCCACCCAGTCACATTATCCTGACACCAGGCCGTCCAGTCCTAACACTAACCTCTTAATGCGCAAAGCGAGGCTGCTGTTAGTACCATTTTTAAAGCCTTTGGTATGATTTGGCCGAGGTTCGAACCCGCAACATCCTGCTTCCGAGGCGGACGCTCTAACCACTAGGTCACCAGAGCGGTTACCATGCCAGTTGGAACAATAGCTCTTTCCAGCGCGTGCGTATTCAAAAAAGTTAATCAGCGTCAATAATATGACATAAATTAAGTTCAAAAGCACACAAACACTTCATTTCATGAAAAGCACACAAGCACTTCATTTTATGAAAAGCGAACATATAAACCAAGGATTCAGATTATACAAATATGTTGTCGTTCATGAAACTAGATATATTACAGAATTTTGGTACAATTTTTGGTATGCTATGTATTTTCAAGGTTACCCTAGTACTCCACGAATAACGGGCGATACTTTTTAAGGTTACGCTAGTACTCCACGAATAACTGGCGATACTTTTTAAGGTTACGCTAGTACTCCACGAATAACTGGCGATACTTTTTAAGGTTACGCTAGTACTCCACGAATAACTGGCGATACTTTTTAAGGTTACGCTAGTACTCCACGAATAACTGGCGATACTTTTTAAGGTTACGCTAGTACTCCACGAATAACTGGCGATACTGCCACTGTATAGTGATAGTCATTATGAAATGCTTGTGACTGTGATAAGCTAGATATTATAACTGTCAGATTATCTCTACGATTTCTATCCAAAGACATTGGTAATTAAACTAAAATGTACACGTTTCGTATAGGAGTAAATGACTTAAAACTTAAACTATTTTGAATAATTTTGAAGAAAAGAAAATCAATTTGCGTCTTCCGTCACTCTGAACGAATATTGTCGTTATAAAGACCAGAAAAACGATCTGCAGCATTTTTCGATTTCAAAAAGCAAACACATTGTATTGTATAGTATTGCTCAAATTGGTCAGCATTTTTAAGAATTATGAAATAATCTAAAACTAGGGATATCAAATTTAATGTTGCAGTCTCCTCAATTTAAACCATATAAATACGGCTTTACTGTAAATAAAACGAATCCGTGAACTTGTGTAACCTGATAAGCTGAATGAAGAACTTTTTTTCTGTCTTATCATTACTAAATTCTAAAATGGCAATTGTTGTTTACTAAATTGCGATTTCAGATCAATGCATTCACACACAAGAATACTGAAATCTGTATACACTATTGGTTTTAAAAGTAACATAATTTCAACTTGTATGATTCACCGTTATGGCATTTCATGCAAAAATCGGGGAAGGAGGTTTTTAGGAACAGGTAAAAAAAAAAAGGATTCAGAAGCGCCTACCAGAAAGAAAAGGTGAATTTGTTCTGAAACTGAATGCTCAGAAACCATTTCAATTTAACCACATGTAAGAAATATGTGAATTTTAGACTGAAATAAAATGAAGTCAAACTTTTTCAAAAATGACCACTGACCAATACTAAAATGGTGCACGGTGCATGTGTTTGAATGATTACTATGAATTTTGTTGAATAGATATCATGAAGATGAGGTCATTTTGAACTCAGCGCATTCTAATTTTGTAGAAGACATGCAGTTTTTAATTATTGTAAATTTCTGGAAAAAGTCATCCCCTGTTACTTACAGAAATTTATGTAGCACCAGAAACTCAAACCACTAACATTGGTGCACAGATTACATTTCAGAGCCAGACTGGAAGTCAGACACCCGACCCAAAGGTCCGCGAACAATAACTGATAGATAATAATAGAACTGTTAGATATTGATAGAACTGTTAGATAATGATGGAACTGTTAGATAATAATAAAACTGTTGGATAACGATGGAAGCGTTACATAATAATGGCGGATCTCCAGACATCTAAAAGAGGATGTGTTAAGTAACCTGAGTATTTGAAATTTTATAATTTTTCATTATATGTCTCAGTGGATTGCAATTTGCTGTTTTATTGATGGTCTTCTTTATAGTCTGGCCTGTTTGGGGTTTTGTTTGACGTGGTTCTGCTGGTCAAGAAAACAGAACGTAATGCGTATATACATGTAGAGTAAGATTGTAAGAGTTATTTCCCTTGTACCGTTATAACCGGGTTCTACTTTGGTAAAACGGATTTTGTGCAACATGTTCTGGTGTTAATGTGATTAAAAAGCATTGAACACAACCCTGTTTTATATAATGAATTATCTCCAGCAGAACGATACAATTGACAAGAGTGACTATATAATATTACAAAATACCAGTAATATGAGGAAGCAAAAGCGGCAAAGTTCAACAAAGTAGAATAAATATAGTCCAAAGTTATTGATTAGATTTAACTAAAATTTCATTTTATATAAATAACTAAAAAACGTTACCATCTTTTTACTAGTAGTAAAGATTTACCTATGCAAATGATATGATCGGAAGTAATAATTAAAATTGTCTGGTGTCCACTAAATTTTGCGTCATAGTCGTGATATTCTCAATATATAAGCCTCAAATTTATCTCTATAAGGATATAGGCTTATACCAGATATTTTAAAAGAAATATCCTGTGGTAAAAATAGGCTAATGAGAAGGCGTGGTTATTTGAGTCAATTAGGTGATCGATAAAAGTAACCTCAGATATACATATATGTCTGATTTTACCCTTTGAATAAACCTATACCTCAAATGACAAAAGTACCTTTTCTAAACGATTTACCTTGATAGCTTCCATTTGAAATAAGTTGTGCATACGGCATCTGCATGTGCCACTTTGCGCTTTAACTTGAAAATACACGCCGTCGTACAATTTGAAATTTGCAGTGGGTGACGTCATTTTATAATGCAAAGGAAATGGAACTAAAAGAAGGATTTGTTCATCAATTGGATATAATATGTCGTGTAATCTGTAAAGCTCATGCCGGTTTTAGGATGGCAAAGGGCACAATATTACGATTATCAAGAAACCAGTATATCTTCACAACGGTTTTAGGAATCTCGCAAGAGCAATCCTGAAACCACCCAGTCAATAGTGCAACATCTGTAACTGGTCATCTGAAATTTTTATGCATTTTATTTTATATCCATTCTAAATACCTTAGGGTCATGAACCAATAGCATTACCCTTTTAGAACATGGCTACCTTATGGATACATGTAACTAATGAGCTCCTCGTCATTAAACTAGATAAGCAAGGAAGGTTCAACTGCCATTTTGCATATACTTTGATCATCTGGTGTCAGCTCATCTTGGAAAATCCATTAACAAAATTCAATATTTTTTATGATTCTTTTCAAATCATGGAAGTGGGTAAGAAAAAAAAATGTTGGCTCGGGCCAATGGATATGAAAGAATGTCTGGACTCAGTTAATTTAAATATATGTACAACGGGAGTTAACTCTTCTTCGCTTGTTCAGTTTACAAAAGTTGCAACTAACTTTACTAAATTTCATATCGGCGGTTCAGGAGGGAATATAGTTAGAACAAAATGTCTACACAGAGGGATAATAATGACTCACCAGTCATGGAGAAGAGATCCAAATGGTGAACCTCTCCTTGCCCTTTGAGCCTTTGGTAAACGGTTCTAATTCAGTTTACATACTTAACCTATGCAATAGCCATATTATTAAAACGTCAATAATCTTATATTTTTGAAAATTTATGATTAAACTGATATTTATCAGTATAGACACATCCTTGATGACAATTTCTGTGTACAGCAAACCACATGAGGCGCGGCATTTTCTGGACCTACATGTATTTGAAACGTGCGTCTTCAATAACGCACTAAAGGGTCAGGTACTGATTTCGTAATTAACGTCTCAATAGACGGTTTGGTGAATTTGCATCCGAAAATGACTTATTGCAGAAAAAAATGATAATTATTTTACACAGAAGATACAAAAAACAATTTAACTAATGAGTTTTGTAGAAAGCATTGTTGTGGGATTTTGAATGAAACAATCAGGTGAATTCCTTATTCAACTGGTAGTTTATATGTTGAACCAACACTGCCACCAACCTCTCTTTTATATTCATTTTTGATCGCAAAGAGCTCATTTGACTATTTTCCTGTGACAAGACGGCTAAAAGGGTCAGTATGTGATTTATGCATGAATAAAGTTCACTAGAACTATAACAAATTAGCATACTTTTCATCACCCCTCAACCATCTAGATTTTTAGATAATTACCTTACATAAATACATAAACCAAGTCGGCTATTCATCTGCAGCCCATACTACACATCTGATCTCCAGTACTAGTCTAAATGTGACAAGCAGTTACCAAACAAGCCAACCCATTTATAAGCAACTCAAAGTAAATGTAATCAACAGTAGAGATTTAGTTTCTGTGTGAATTTATATATACTAGAGAGACAAAAACAACAGCAGGAACTGCAACAGCTATAATAATAATAATAATAATAATAATAATAATAATAATAATAATAATAATAATAATAATAATAATAATAATAATAATAATGATGATAATGATGATGACGACGACGATGATGGTGGTGATAATGATGATGATGATGATGATGACGACGATAATAATAATAATAATAATAATAATAATAATAATAATAATAATAATAATGATGATGATGATAATGATGATGATGACGATGATGATGATGACGACGACGACGACGATGATGATGGTGATGATGATGACGATAATAATAATAATAATAATAATAATAATAATAATAATAATAATAATAATAATAATAATAATAATAATAATTTTATTTCAAGAGCGTAGCACTGGTAGTAAAAGAAAAAAGAAAAAGCTTTCATCGGTCATCAAAGAATAAGAAGCATATATATTTATTAATCCAACAAACAAATTTCTTTTTGGAAAAAAACCAGTAAACTAAAAAAGAAAATCCAAACATTACAGATTTGTTGATAATTACCTGGAAATAAATAATTACGGCTAGTAAAGTATCAAAAGCAAACATGGTTGACAACAATATTCATGCATGTAGTTTATTCAGTATTCACAGCATTTCAGTTTATTCAGTATTGATTGCATTTCAGTTTATTCAGTATTCACTGCATTTCAGTTTAGTTAGTATTCACTGCATTTCAGTTTAGTTAGTATTGATTGCATTTCAGTTTAGTCAGTATTGATTGCATTTCTGTTTAGTCAGTATTC